CCCATTTCTGAAGAAGGATCCTGACCCAAAACGTCAGCTTTCCTGCTCCTCTGATGCTGCCTGGTTTGCTGTGCTCCTCCAGCTCCACATTGTGTTATCTCAGACTCCAGCATCGGCAGTTCTTACTATCTCTTTATTCTTAATGTTGCCACTTTCAAATTACAATTATAGATTTATCAAATGATATTTGATTTTCGATGCACATCAGGTCAATGCTAAAATGACGTAGCCCACTATACATCTGAGACAGCACACTGTTACCAAAATATGATTATTGCACACATGAAGGCCCAAAAATAATTCAAATATAAAATAAGATTTGTTGGTCAAAGAAAGAAGGTATTCCAGAAATCATTTAAAGACACATATGTGATGTTCCAGGGACTCATTGCTCTTAGATTGCTTTAGGGGTAGCCAATAAATGCAGGCCCAGCCAGTGACACCCACGTCCCGCGTGTGAATAAAAAACGAAGTATGTTTTCATAATATTCCTGCTTTTATTTGGAAGACTCTTTATTTGTCATCTATTCGTTCATCACAGGGGCAATATCAGTCATCGCAAACTCCAAATATTACATATATAAAAATAATTAAGACATATTTCTCACCTCCATTATAATAATAAAAGCCAGTTTGGCGGCCATCACGTGCCAGAAATAAAGGCTGTGATTATACTCTAGAGGGTGACCAGGAGGATATCTCAAATCTCGGTACCTAAAACAAAATGAAAATTACTGTATCACTCCAACTCCACATAATCACAAAAAATTACAGATAATATCTTCACATAGGAGATACATACTAACAAGAAACATGAGTAATAAAAGGAATTAGAATGACAGGAATAAATGCCACAATCAAATTGTGTTGGAAAGAAAACAAAATCAACTGTCCTGACTTAATTAAGCGATACCCTGAAGATTACAAATACAGTAATATCTTGAGAGGGCTACTATGAAGCAATTTTAATCTAAATGTTGCAAATGGACAGCTTGTGACTGATTTCAATGTTAACAGCGATGCTCCTGTGTTCATTCTACGGGGCAGGTTTTATCAATAAATATTCTTAAAGCAGACGGGAATGTAAACATTGTATGTGGAGTGGACAACAGGATTGTATATTGTGAAGTCTGACATGGAGGTAAACACAATTTCATAATCTTTCACCCATAATGCATGTTACATTGTATTGATCCAACTAATTGGCATGTGCTTATGTTGTATGAACATCTACTCTTTTTAATTTGCAAAATTAATCCCAATATCCTGTCGGCAATTTGTTTGGAAGGAGAAACGTCATTCAGCCCATCATACTGCATTGTTATTCATAGCTGAATGCACATTGTAACAAGTAAAATTGGACGTAAGGGTTAACTATATATTTGAATGAGCTACTAACATTCAAACATGAAGAATGACTACATCATGCTGCTACCTGTCTTGGCATGATTTGCAATCACTAAGATGGGAGGACTAAGGAGAAAAAGTTCGAGGCAAGAATGTAACAGCACCATTAGTGGCTGCATTAGTTTAATACAAAAGCAACAATTTCACACAGGAGTCAATTACGTAGATAATATCTTTTAAAATACTGCAATGCATCAATTTAGATTTTTTTTGAACCGGTCTACTTGGGTACACATTACAAAGCAAAATTATTACTATTACCAAGATACAGACCTGGAGATGTTTGCTGAGGTGAGGCAGAAATTTAATTTGTGCGTGAAAGTAATGATAATGTTATTGATCTTCTCAAATGGACCTTGTGGGACATTAATGAGAATGTGGAAGGTAAGTTTACCTTCTTGTCATTCATAAAAAGAAGTTGGATTGTTATAATGCCTCTGATTCAAGTCCCACATCTTGCTTGACTCTTTTAACTAACTAAGTGGCCGTGTGAGCTTTCAAGAAGTTGGTTCACCATCACCTTACTAGAATAACAAGAGATTCACAATAAATGCCTTGCCAGAATGGTGACGTACTGAAAATGCATCTTTCAAAAAATACAGAATAGTTATTGTTGCTGAAAGTGACATTGGTTAGGGGTTTATAGTCGATGTGACACGAGCAGTAACCTGTTTTCTAGAGATAGTGAAGTAGATCACTGTTAATCTTCCTTTCTCTTTAATTCGTTAATGGGATGTGGGCATCACTGAGTGGTCCAGCATTTATTGCCTGTCCCCAGTTGCCCTTGAGTGGGTGGCAGTGAGCTGCCTTCTTGAACTGTTCCAGTCCATTTATTATTGGTAGACCCACAATGCTGATTGGAAGGGACAGGGGGGTGGGGTGGGAAGGGGAAGTTCCAGGATTTTCACTCAGCAACACTGAAGAATGATGATGTGGTTCCAATTCAGTACAGTTAGTTGTTTGGATGGGAACCTGCAGTTGGTGATGTCCCATATATTTGCTGCCCTTGTCCTTTGAATGGAGAAAATCTGCAACACAAGGGACTTATTTAGAACATAGAACAGTACGGCACAGGGGCACAGGTTTAAGGTGTGACGGGGGGAGTTTAAAGGAGATCTGCGAGGCAAGTTTTTCACACAAATGGTAGTGAGTGCCTGGAACTCGTTGCCAGAGGAGCTGGTGGAAGGAGACACAATAGAAGCATTCAAGAAACACCTGGGCGAATACATGAATAGGAAGGGAATAGAGGGATACAGATCCTGTAAGTGAAGACAGTTTTAGTATGGAAGGGCAGAATGCTGTTTTGTTCTTTGTTCACAGGAACAGGCCCTTTGGCTCAAGATGTCTGCGCCAACCATGATGCCATTCTAAACTAATCCCGCCTGCCTGCACATGGTCCGCATCCCTCTATGGTCTACTTGGTCATGTATAATGTCGAAATGCCTCTTAAACGTTACTATTGTATCTTCTTCTACCACCTCGCCTGGCAGCATGTTCCAAGCACCTACCGCCCTCTGTGTAAAAAAAAAACCTTACTTGCATATCTCCTTTCAACCTTCCCTCTCTCACTTTAAACCTATGTTCCTTACAATTTGACATTCATTTCCACTCTGGGGAAAAATAGCTCTATCTATCCACCCTATCCATACCTCTTATAATTTTATATACTACTGTCAGGTTGCCCCTCAGCCTCCGATGCTCTAGCAAAAACAATCCAAGTTGGTCCAACCTCTCCATCTAGCTAATACACTCCAATCCAGGCAACATACTGGTAAACCTCTTTTGCACCATCTCTGAAGACTCCACATTCCTCCTTTGGCATGGCAATCAGGACTGCACACAATATACCATATGTGGCCTAACTAAAGTTTTATGCAGCTGCAACATGACTTGCCAACTGTTATACTCAATGCCCCGACCAATGAAGGCAAGCATACCGTACATCTTCTTTACCACCTTTTCTACTTATGCTGCCACTTTCAGTTAGCTATGGCTTGCACCCCAAGATCCATCTGTATATCAATGCTCCCAAGGGTCCTGCCCTTTACTGTAAACTTTCCTCTTGCATTTGACCTCCCAAAATGCATTACCTCAGACTTGTCCAGATTAAACTCCATCTGCCATTTCTCCACCCAATTTTCCAGCTGATCTATATCCTACTGCATCCTTTGATAACGTTCCTCACTATTCACAACTCCATCAATGTTTGTGAGGTAACTTGGAGGTACTTCTGCATGAAACACAGAAAATTAGTAGGTAATCAAGAAGTCTAATGGAATGTTGGCCCTTATTTCAAGAGGGTCGGTGTATTCAGTCGGGAAGTCTTACTGCATCTGTACAAGGTGCTGGTGAGACTACATTTGGAGTACTGTGAGCAGTTTTGGTCCCCTTATTTAAGGAAGGATGTTGTTTCATGAGAAGCCATTCAGAGAAGGTTCACTAGGATGATTCTCGATACAGAGGGACTGCCTTAAGAGCAAAGATTAAACAGGTTCAGACTCTACTGACTGCAATTTAGAAAAATGAGAGGTGATCTCATTGAAACATATCAGATTCTTAAGGGGCTTGACAGGGCAAATGCTGAGCGGATGTTTCCCCTCATGGAGAACCTAGGACCAGAGGACATAGTCTCAGAATAAAGGGGTGCCAATTTAAGACTGAGATGAGAAGGCATTTCTTCTATCAGAGGGTGGAGAGTCTTTGGAACTCCTTGCTACAGAGAGTTGTTAGGGGCAGAGCCCATGTGTATATTTAAGGCTGAGATAAATACATTCTTAGATCATAGAATCCCTACAGTGTGGAAACAGGCCCTTTGGCCCAACAAGTCCACACTGACCCTCAGAGCATCTCACCCAGACCCATCCCCCTATAACCCACCTAATCTACACATCCCTAAACACTATGGGACAATTTAGCATGGCCAATCCACCTAGACTGAACATCTTTGGACACAGGAGGAAACCAGAGCACCCGGAGGAAACCCACACAGACACAGGAAGAATGTAAAAACTCCACACAGACAGTCACCCGAGGGTGGAAATGAGCCCAGGTCCCTGGCGCTGTGAGGAGGCAGTGCTAACCACTGAGCTACTGTGAGACCGTGATCAGTAGGGTAATCAAGAACTCTGGGGTGAGGGCAGGAAAGTGGACATGAGGAATGTACAGAATCCGATTGAATTGAGCAGGCCTGAGGGGCCGAATGTCCTGCGCCTGTTTCTATTTGTTTATGGTCTTATAGCTAGTAGTGGTCGTGGTTTTGGAAAGTGCTATCTAAGGAGCCCTAGTGAATTTGTGTACTGCATTTTGTGGATAGTACACTGCTGCTACTCTGCATTGATGACGGAGGGAGTGAGTGAGTGTGGATGGAGGGCCAGTCAAGCAGGTTGCTTTGTTCTGGATTGGGTCAAGCTTCTGAAGTGTTGCTGAAGCTGCACTCATCCAGGTAAGTAGACTCAAGCCTTGTAGGTGATGGTCAGGCTTTCGGGATTCTAGAGGTGAGTTACACACATAGGATTCCCAGTTTCTGACCTTGTAGCCTCTGTATTTGGATGGCCAGTCCACTTCAGTTTCTGATCAATGGTAACCTACAGGATCTTCTTCACCTATGAAGACTAGTGCCTTTGGGGTTATTGAGATTTCAGTGGCCATTAACAGTAATAGAGTCATGCCCCAGATTCAATTATGAAATGACAATGGTTAATTGATTATTAACTATCTTGGAGCGATACAGTTAAAAATTTAAAGCAGAAACTCGATCTGCCTATTTCGATGTTTAACTGGAGGTGGAGCAAGACAGAAGTGCTTATCCATTTATTCAAACAATTTGCTGCGCAAAAATAGTCAGATCTGAAGGTTGGAAGAAACATTGTGCTCACTCAGAGACGCAGCATTCTGGCACTTTCTGGGCCACTGCCCCCTATAGCAGCACACCACTAACCTGCAGGTGGTATCAGTTTCATGGTCAAACCAGGAGGGGACAATCCTGGGCTTACTGAGATTTTTGAAGTCAGCAACTCTGAAAACAGAGAGGGTCGTATTGATGTAACCTTGCATGGTCGGGCTGTTGTGTGCTCCAAAGGGTTGCATGGACAGTGCCCAATAGTAAACAAGCCTGGGAATCATATCAGATGTAAATGCAATGATCAGTGCCTATAAATAAGAGGCAAAAAAGACAAGAGACATTTTAAAAGCTCAACTAAGAAAACAATAAAGCATGCAAAATATAATTGGATGGTCTATTTCTCTATAACATTTGAATTTACTTATATTAACTATGTAACAGTAAATATCTCAGCAATTCACAAACTGAAGTACAGTCACCAGTTTCATTTCATAGGACAGGGTTTCCCCAAACTGTGGGCTGTGATCCACAATGAGATTTTAGGGTCACTAGTGCCATGGCGACAAAGTTATGATGTTCCAGGTCAGACTGATGAAATTATGTTACAGTCTGGCTAGGAACTATTAACAAAAACAGAAATTGCTGGAAAAGCTCAGCAGGTCTGGCAGCATCTGTGGAGAGAAATTAGATTTAACGTTTGGGTTGAGTGACCCTTCTTCAGAACAGGAACAAGAATTATTAACATTTTGTTTTTATACAGTTGACAGTATGTGAGATCAAATGTATTTATACAGAGAATAAAGTCACAATATTCCAAGGAGCTCATTGCTACCAAAATGTCCTATTTCAGGGAGTTTCATGGAGGGTTTCTCTCCATGAGCTCTAGCAAGTTACTGCATGCAATTCTCCGCTACTCACCTCCCCATGTGTTCACCTTGCCCCAGCTTGTGCTATTGTGTGCTCAGCAGTGGCAGGAATACTCGCCACTGCTACAACCAACTAGGATTCCCACAACTACCATAGTTAAAGTCTGGCTATGCACCAGGCTAAATGCTGCGAAGCATAAATAGCCCTTCACAGTAGATTGAATGGGAGGGTAACAAAAAAGAAAAGTTTCTGAAGGCACATAGGATCATTGAAGTTAGAATGTCAGTCATAAACATTCTGCCTCTTTACATCACCTGTCTGATTGCCTGTCATTGTAACTGCATTGCATAACATCTCCTCATCATTCAATGTGGGAGAATTACATGTTGGAAAGTCTTCAAACAATTGATTACATTATCTTTTATTGAACAAAAGAAAAACTGAAGAAAAAAAAACAGAAGTTGTATTTACCTCTGGGAACATAGAGGGTCTGCTTGCTTTTTGAACAAAAGTTTACAATGAATGATGACTTCACCCAAGTCACATAGATCATAGGAGATCATAGAATGATCTATGTCACTTGGGTGAAGTCATCATTCACTGTAAAGTTGTTGTTCAAAAAGCAAGCAGACCCTGTGTATTCCCAGAAGTAAATACAACTTTTGTTTTATCCTTCAGTTTTTCTGTTGTTTAATGTTCTGTTGTTTCTATTCAAAGTGGCTGTCCAGCTTGTTACACCACTCCATTCTAAAGGCGATAGAAAAAAGAACTGCAGATGCTGGAAATCTGAAACAAAAAACAAAATTGCTAGAAAAACTGAGCAGGTCTGGCAGCATCTGTGGAGAGAAAACAGAGTTAATGTTTGAGTCCAGAATAGGGTCTCTTAATTGCCAGACCTGCTGAGTTTCTCCAGCAATTTCTGTTTTTGGTTCTAAAGGTGATGTTCATCCTGCCTAATGTCCTCATCTTCCTCCTGGGAAGACTGCTGCTGCTCGTCTAGCTCTTCAATGCCCCTCTGTCAGAGTGTACTGCAAGGACCCTCAAAACTAATCCAAGCATCAGACCCAAAACTTCAGGAGACCCATTGTCTGCTACATGATGGTTGAAGAATGGGCTGCATTGTATCTACACTAAGCCTCAGTAAGAGCCTTGATTCATGGAGTTATCAGCCATGCCTCCAGAGGGTGCCCCTTATTTCCCAGTAGCCATCCTTATTAGGCATCCAGCCCTTGAAATGAGGCAGGGACCTGAGTTTTCTCAAGAATATATGGACATCATGGCAACTTCCAAGCTATTTGTATCAAATCCCTGTGATCACAGATGACTGTACATTTACTGAATGGAAGCATTTTCTATTGACGAAGTCAGGCACATTGTGATATGCTGCTCTCAACTTAATGTATATACAAATCTGTAGTCCTGCATCTGGGGGAGTCCAGCTATGGTGACAAACTCCACTGTCTTGGTTGCAGCACTGAACTTGTCATTGTGCAACAAGATCAAGTGATTCACCAGTAACAGCCTCGATACATTTGTGCATTGAAGACTGAGAGGTCTTGCATAAGTCCCCACTGGATTCTCAAAAACAGCCAGTGGCATGAAAGTTTACCAGAACTGGGATAGGACTGCCATCAACCTCATTAGATCACATGTCCAGTTCCAGCAGATGAAACAGTTCAGTCATGTTGTTGCAGGACATCCTCAGTTTGTGGTAGCAATGCATTTTGTACATCTGGAGGAAATAGCATTGAGGATGGTACATTCTCAGCCTCCGGTATCACTTCCACATCCTGAGGGGACCTTTAGCCTCAACGTCTTCACGTGGAGACTGCTTGGTAGCCACATGAAGTTGCTGTAGGTCCTGGAGTTGCTGGTGATATGTGTTATCCTTCTATTTCTCTATGCCTTTGTTTCACTGTGGCCACAGCAACAATGACCCCTTGCTGTGGCTGGATCGATTGGTTACGCTTCCAATGAACTTATGTGGTGAGCATCAGAAACTGAACAGGTCCTTTGTAATATGAGCCCTTACCAATACCTCCCACTTATGAAGAAGAGTCATACTAAACTCAGAATATTAAGTCTGTTTCTCTCACCATAAATGCTGCCATACCTGCTAGGTTTCTCTAGCATTCTGTGTCTGTTTCACATGTTCAGTATCCACTGTATTTTACCTTTATCAGGGAAGATCTTCTGCTTGAGAGAGACAGTAGGAACTGCAGATGCTGGAGAATCCGAGACAACAAGGTGCAGAGCTGGATGAACACAGCAGGCCAAGCAGCATCATAGGAGCAGAAAGGCTGACGTTTCGGGCCTAGACCCTTCATCAGAAAAGGGGGAGGGGAAGGGGGTTCTGAAATAAATAGGGAGAGAGTGGGAGGCAGATAGAAGATGGATAGAGGAGAGGATAGGTGGAGAGGAAACAAACAGGTCGAAGAGGCAGGGATGGAGCCAGTAAAGGTGAGTGTAGGTGGGGAGTTAGGGAGGGGATAGGTCAGTCCAGGGAGGACGGACAGGTCAAGGGGGCGGGATGAGGTTAGTAGGTAGGAGATGGGCGTGCGGCTTGAGGTGGGAGGAGGGGATAGGTGGGAGGAAGGACAGGTTAGGGAGGCGGGGACGAGCTGGACTGGTTTTGGGATGCGGTAGGGGGAGGGGAGATTTTGAAGCTTGTGAAATCCACATTGATACCATTGGGCTGCAGGGTTGGACTTTTCAAAAAGAATTCAGCCAAAATTAATGTAATCTGTGCAAATGCTCATGGAATCTCAAATGCAAATTGTGGTCAGTGTAAACTCAATATCCATTGTACTTAGATGACAGCCTTACCCACAGAATTGGCCATTTCCTAGGAAGAACTAACCACCACTGGGAATTTCTGCCAGTTACTTTCATTTGCTGGTTCTTTTGTGTGCAACAAAACTACAAGGAACATTTTAAAAGCTTTTGAATCCAAACACGTAAAGAAACCATTTACTTTACCACTACACAACTGATATATATGTCTGTACTTCTGCTTAAAAAGTCATTTGCTGTAATTTAAAATCAAGTTGTTCAAAGGTAATAAACTGATACTGATTAAAATGTGTTTTAAAATAAATCCATTTTCAGTTCTGTTAATCAAAGTGCAATAAGTTATCATCCTTAAATACAATTCAAATTAAAATTATTTTAAATTACATTGAGAATGCTGTTTGATTGCACTGGGTCACTTCAGATTTTTTATTTGGCAATATTAAACAACTGAGCAAATACTCAGGAGAAAAACATCCTTTTCAAAACGGGGGCAATTTGACCACAATAATGCACAGATCAGCAACTGTGTCTAAAGCAGAAAAACGCCCCTAATATTAGTTCTTGGTGTCTAATTTTTACAACATTTTTTCAGGAAAACTATACACTAATCATATACAATACTGTCATTCAAAAACAAAGATCAATCTTAATCAATGAACAGTTTTCCAGTGCTCACCAATATCACTGGATCACCAGCTTTAATGGATGCAGAAACAACAGCTCAGGTCAGCAGGGTGCATTCTGTGTCTTCAATGTGAAAAATTAGGCAGTGCTTCAATAATGTGCCAACAGTTATTGGTGCAGATTGGAATGGATGCACAACTAGATTCCATCTCACCTAGTTAACAAACCTGGGGTGTTATGAGTTGTTTGGTGTTGAGCAGAGACTGACATCACCTGAAGGTGGAAGGATCACACTGAACAGACCCAACTGGACAAAGGTATTAGGCTGGGATTAGGCTGCATTTGGCATCAGCCAAGAAGATGAAGCAAAGAAGTACAAAAATACTTCCAATAACAACAACTCGAATGGGTCAGCTCGTCTGAATCTTGCACTGGTTTTATGTGCCTCTTATTGTTCTTTATATCTGGCAAACTGACAAAAAAAAATTGATAAAGCTGACACTGTGGCAAATAAACCCTAGAATACCATTTGGTGCACAATATACATTTTCACCCAGTTGCTTTAAAAAAATCTATTTAGAACTCCTCATATGCAATTATGCAGTTATACACAGCATGTGACACTCTATTGGGAATGAGTAAACTAGATAAACCAGACAACAATACATCATTGCTGTTGTTAATTTCAAAGGCTGCACTCACATTTGTCACAGCTGCAAAAACAGCCACTCCGTGCAGGATTGGCAGCCAGGCTCCAATATCTTGTGCTTTGACTGCCAGAATCCGTCGAAACTGTGTGGTCATTTTCCAACCATCTACTCGTATTTCGATGATGTTATTAATCAGTGCCAGCAGAGGTGCCAGAGGGAATGATGCCACAAAGATGGTGGCGAAACCAAACTGTATAACTGTGAAATGAACAGAAAAAGATAAAGTGAAATCTCTGTGCATCATATTGTCTGTGCATTGTCAGGGTCACAGCTCCAACTGGTCTACAGCTGCTGCCGTGGGTCACAAACAAACGTTCTAACAACTCAGATTTTGGCTAACAAGCCCATGTCACATCACTTACTCTTGCTAAGCTTGGAATGATCCAGGGAGAAACATATGACAAGAGGTTATATGGACTAAGCTGCCAGAGAAGGTAGTGTAGACTGGTACAATTACAACATTTAAAAGGCATTTGTATGGGTATATGAATAGGAAGGGTTTAGACAGGTATGGGCCAAATGCTGGCAAATGGACTAGATTAATTTAGGATATCTGGTCGGCATGGGCAAGTTAGACTGAAGGGTCTGTTTCCATGCTGTACATCTCTATGACTCTTTTACTAAGTACTAAAGGAATATACTGATATAAATAGCCACTGTGGAAATCTAGTATGGCCAGCAGATACCATCCCAATCTGTTTAAAGTTGCTGTACAATATATCTGTCCTTACAGAGAATCTTCCAAATGAAGCTTGTGCAATTTGACTTCACAAATTATACAGTTGAACAGACTGCCATGTAGTTCACCCATGTATCACATTAGTATCAACTCCGTATTACAAACAAGAATTTCTGGCATGTAACACTGCAACTACATGAAGCATCCATCCAAGTGAAATTAGCAAGCCCACTATGATCATTAGGTTGGTTTCAGCACACTATTTAAGCATCTCATATCATAAATCTCTCAAGCTCACTTAAGTAATATCAGTAGCTCTAACATGCCTCTCCCATATTCATAAGGAGATGTAATATTCAGGAAGAAGTGATGCATATCCAATTTTATATTAATGCCAGAAAAACATCACCCGTTACCTTCATGGGAATGAAGTAGTAAAAGTGGTATCCACAACATTTTTCAAAATTAGTCAGATGTTACCAACAGGATAATTATGAAGCTTTACAATTTTCAGAAACAATTCTATGATGAGCAAAGATTGTAGCATACAGTAAGAAGGTACACTCCCATGCAACTAGATCTAAATAAGCAAAGGGTTGCAGGTGAGACCAGCAATTTAATTTAAAACAAAACAAAAGCCAGGATGCCCAGAAATTGCTTACTTGTAGGTTAAAAGTGGCATTCTGCAGTTATGTTTTTTTTAATATTGTCCTAATTTAGAAATTTAAATAGGCATATTTATTTAAGAATAAGCAAAAGTATACAGCACAATTTTAATTTTATCATTACAGAATCCAACAATATTGGTTAACAGCAATGGTAATTTCGTTGACAAAAATAGAAGTTGCTGGAAAAGCTCAGTGGGTCTGGCAGCATCTATAGATAGAAATCAGAGTTAATGTTTCGGGTCGAATGACCCTTCCTCAGGCCCTTCCTCCCTGAGTTCTAAGGAAGGATCACTCAACCTGAAATGTTAACTCTGCTTTCTCTCCACAGATGCTGCCAGACTTGCTAAGCTTTTCCAGAAATTTCTACTTTTGTCTTTGATTTACAGCATCTGCAGTTTTGGTTTTTATTTAGTAATTTCACTGTGATATTTCAATTCAGTTACGAATTACTTTCATATGGAAAGCATCTAAACATATTTACTCCCTCCATCACTCTGCCTTAATGGCGACACCCAGTGGTGACACAACTATTTCTGAAACAGTTCTACAAATTATTATTTTTAAATCAATAATTTTATCAGTTAGTGGAAACATGGAACTCAAATCATTGATCGAACAAGTGAAATGTGGCCCAAGTGGGCAAGGGAAGTGAGTTTCTACTTCTCATGCTCATTCTTTATTATACATCATTTGTTTTGTTTATAGTATAATAGAATATAGGTGAGGTTGTCTACTTGAATGTTCTCTGCATGTGCCGCATGTGCCGCATGTGCAAGAATTGTCCATATCAGGCTCAAGTCCACTGAAACGAATGG